TGTTACCAGGTCACGTGACTTCTGCTGTCGTAGCAGAATGCTGCTCATCTAAAGCAAAACTCTTGCGAACTTAATATAGTTTGAGGCTTCGTAATCTTATATACTAAGAGGATCCCCTGGTGGGACAGCGATAAATTTACAGACTTATAACGATAAAATTCGGGGTTCGATTCTCCGCGTTGGACATAGCAGATAGCCCAATGTGGCTTTGCTACAAAAAAATAAACAAACAAGCAAACCAACAAACTAAACTAAGATGAAAAATTTTAGGCCTAGAGTTAAGCCTACTTGTATTCTCTTTCCATAATTAAGTAGCTCAAGAGATGCATGTCGCCTACGTTCCAAGAATATATATATTACATATAGCAACTATTGTCAAAATGCATGGTCAAAAATAAGACGTATATTCTTCAGTTCATGTAACAAATACCGACGTTTGGAAGGTCTCGTTTCACTTCCCTCGAGAGTAGACACTGTGGAAAATAAATGTAAACGTAATTAAATCCGGGGTTCGATTCCTTGCTATAATTGTATGTATTTATAGACTGTGTATTACATTGTTTTTGAGACCTGCTGCTGTTGATGTAATTTAAAAGCCACTTGGTAAAAGCCATGAGATTTCTGCCTCTAGTTCATATACAATATTCTTATCTGAAAATAATTTATGATTTTTTTTTTCGTATGCTACAAAACCCCTTGCATTTTGTTATAATCTACGTGACTTTTGATAAATCGGCATTGTAAATGAGTTTTCTTCACCTACTTTCGTGTTCATCCTGATTTAACATGAGCTATTGCATCTGTTGTCAGATATAAATGTGTCATAAATAATATGCCCTTATAGTCTACACACGCAAAATAATATCACTCTGTTAACAATAAACTAATGCCACTCTAGAAAAAAACAACAGAAAAGAGAGAGAGAGAGAGAGAAATAGAAAGTGTAACAAAACGGGGCTAACAGAGAAAAGTAAATAGAACACAGCAGTCTTTTCTTGGTGTGTGGTCGAAGAACTGAGAACCGGGTCACAAATATCTTGAACGTTTCGCTGTTGTTTGATAAGAGCTGTGTTTTGTTGAATGTTTTGTTGTTGTTTGATAATAGCTGTATTTTGTTGAATGTTTTGTTTTGTT